TCACTAAATGATACTCATTCAATCAGGCATTCATCACACATGCCAGATACTGTGCTAGGTGCTGGTAATTCAGAATTAGGAAAGGCTTATTGCCCTTGAGAAATTTATAAAACAAATAGAAGGGAGAGGGCAGCACTGGCAAATTATTAGAAAACAGTATCAGCATTGAGCAACCTGAGTCTTGCTGGTATAGGGATAAGAGGATGGGCACTGGAAGCAGCCATGTGATTTTGGGTTCATAACCTTAATTCTGTGCCTTAGTTTCTTCATGAGAAAGGATATATGGTTTTTATCTCTGTAAAGCTGTTATAAGAAAATTAGTGGAAAAGTAGAGCTTTCCTAAAGTAGTTGTGCTGTTTCCTGAAGGCCTCCATGTCTGGCACATTCTTGATGGAGAGGGTACAGTACAGTGCCTGGTGCCTAGTCAGTGAGCAATGAATGTTAGCTGTAATGAATATTGTTATCACCTCTGCTTGGGCTCATAGAGGAAGTAGCATTTCAACTAGCCATTGAAGGATGAGTTTCTATTAGGCAGCTGAGGCAGAGGATACAGCCTGAGGAGGCACAGGAATGGAAAGGGATGATGTTTCAGAAACTGTGGAATGGTCTGGGGCAGCTAGAGGGCAGCTGTGTGTATGCAAGTGATCAGAGATAGGGCTGGAGATAGAAAACCCAGATGGTGAGGGTCTTGCTTGCTGTTGGAGTTTGGCCTTAATAGATGAAATGGGACCTTCAAAGCCTTTAAAGACAGGCTTGTCACAATCTGAACTGTTTTAGAAGGGTCCTTCTGGTGCTTCTGTGGAGGGATGGACTGGTTGGGAGGGGACCAAGGAGACTGTTAGGAAAGGGAAGGAAGAGGCTGCTGAAAACTCTGGTGACAGATGACGAGAGCAAGAACTGAAGTGATAAATGGTCCAGAGATGGATCAGCAGGGTTGAGGACAGGTACAAGGTGGACAGCCAGGCATGGTGGTGTATACCTGTAATCTCAGCACTTGGGAGGCTAAGGCAGGGGGATCGCCAGGAATTGGAGGCCATCCTGGGCTACATAGGGAGTTCAAGATTAGTTTAAACTACATAGTGAGATTCTGTCTCAAGTAACGGTGTGTGTCTATGTCTGTGTCTGTGTCTGGGAGTGTGGAGTGTGTGTGTGTGTGTGTGTGTGTGTGTGTGTGTGTGTGAAGAATAGGAGGGGTATTCAGCTGGACATTGCTATTACTAACAAAGATAATAGCAGGAGGAGCAGGGCCAGGGATTTAGCTCAGTGACACTGTGCCTGCCTTGCAGGCACAAGATCCTGAGTTCAATCTCTGGTGCCAAAAAATAAAGCATAAATAAATCATATAGCAGGAGGAAAAGGTTTTTACTTTTTAAGATTTTATCTGAGGAAGGTAGACTACTTTTTTCTGATCTTTGGAGTAAGTTTTCCAGAACTCAAAAGTCCATTCTATAGACTAGGACTTTTCTTCTCTCTTCAGGTTTATATAAAGTTAGCTGTTCCAGACAACTAATTACTGATCTCAGGCAATTAGGGCAGGAGATGACTGTGTTTATTTCACTCTTTGGTGTCTCCTGGGGCAGAGAGAGATGAAAGTCATGTGTTTGTTTTCACCTCATTTTTAAGAATGATTGGAGTTGGAACATTAGCCTCCCTCCTAGTAACATACATGGGCCTTTCTGCTCTCCCTCCCCCAAATCTGTAAAAAACCATGAAACCATGTTAAATAAAAAAGTTCTTTCCAGTTTTTCCTCCCTGTCTTAGCTAGTTTCCCACAAAATGTTGTTCAGATTTTTAGCACAGTCAGGTAACCTGAGCCCACCCTCACTTTTGGGCTCCAGGACAGCACCTCAACTGTGTGGAGGCCCCTGCTGATGGCACAGCTTAGCTGGGCTGATCCTGCTCAGTCATTTTTTTTTTTTTTTTGGGTACTGGGGATCAAACTCAGGACCTTATGCTTGTAAGGCAGGTAGTGGAACCACTGAGCTAAATCCCCAGCCCCTGCTCAGTCATTTTTACAAGTACACTGGGTCCAAAGCATCTTGCCTGGCTCTCATCAATATGACGGGACAGCCTCATCCATAGAATTCTGTCCATTGTCTTTTATGTTCAACTTCTTCCTTACTCTGACTTCTTTCTACTTTCTGTCCACCAAGATTATTCCTAGCTGGCAAGATTCCTTGACTTGCAGGATGGAATACTCAAAGTTCTTTTCTCTTTGCTCCCTCTTCCAAAGTGGTTCTTAGATGTTTCAAGTACATAGAACACTTTGAGTTGTGGGTTTTGTTTGTTTGTTTGTTTTGTTTGGTACGGGGGATCGAACTCGGGACCTTGTGCTTGCAAGGCAGGCGCTGGAACCACTGAGCTAAATCCCCGGCCACATAGACCACTTTGGTGGGCAAAAGAGCCTATGGATCATCTCTTTCTGTTTGTCTTTTTTTTTTTTTT